TCCTTCCGTGGTACACAATCCCCCCACACCCCTCCCGCCACCCCAAGTACATTCCACTGTGCAACCTTAATTGTGGACTCTTGTGATAAGTTAAAACTATTTTTATATTTTTTTAAATGCTAAAACTGTTTTTGTAAATTAAACCATGAAATGATACTGTCTGTTTATGAAATCTTGATTTAGCAAATGTATGAGTTCAATAGGAAAAAGAAAAGCAAAGAACAAATGAAAGTGGCTTTTATATGAAATGACCAAATTAATAAATTATTCTAAATTTTTATTTGTAAATCTTAAAAATGTATGCCTTTCTCAGCCTATAATGGGCATCTGCTTCTTTCTAGATGCACTGCCTGAAGTACCCAAATCTCAAATGTGTGATATCATTCTCTTTGTCAAGTGAGACTGTCAAATCAGAGTGTTTCCAGGCTCTGGGGTGTCAGAAAAGCCTCCAGAAAAGAGGTTGGAAAAGGCCCTGAACCTATATGGATACATGCCATTTTCAAGGGCCACCCATCCCAAACCCAAACCCACTGTTATGAGGTCTGTGTGAACTCCCATCACTCCACTGCCAAACCACCTGGCTGAGAGGCTTCCTCGCTTTAGCCACTGCTCCACCTTCTCAAGCACGATGTCCCTCTCCAAGAAATAACCTCTCTTATCAACATGCTCACAGTACCTGAGACAAAGCTTCATTATCTTTGCCTCTAAGGAACACTCTGGCTGCACCTTCTCCAAGACAGACCTGCTTGTTCTTTTATTAACTTGAATGCTGAGTCTCATGGGGAAGTATAATGGGCCCACATTATGTTTACTGTTTGCCTGGGCAAACTTTGGGCAGTTGGTCTTTTCTTGCTTTCCTCTTCATCCTTCCTCAATTTTTCTTTTTCTTTCTTTTTAAATTAATTTCCATGAAAGTTTACAGAGACTTAGGGTTTCCAGTCATTCATTGTTGCACTTTTCTCCCTGCCCACATCCTCCCTCCAAATTCACTCTTCTCCTTGAAAAGTAAAACTCTTTTGCTATTATACAATCCCTCCTGCCTAAGTCCACTCCACTGTGCAGTCTTCATTCTTGACTCCTGTCATGACAATAATACCTAATCACATCTCCCTTTTAAACAGCTCTCTCCTTCATCTGTTTCAAATCGGTGTTCTCATGCCAAATGAAGAAAACGTGCCCTTTTACGGGGAATGTGAAGATGGTGCCCTCTGGTGGGCTATATTGAAGATTACACCTTTCCCTCTCTAAAGCTTTTATTAGAGGTTTTTGCTTTTGTTTTTTACCTGAAATTTTATTTCGTTAAGGAGAAGGATGGGCAATCTCAACCTGCCTGATTTACCGCCTCTGCAATCTTGCTTGAGGGTCATCCATGGCTTGGTTCCGACTCAAAGGCACATCACGACCACAAAATACTCAATTGGGTTTACTTTCCAAAGTAATTAAGATAACCATCAAAGCGATCCTAGTTACCGTGAAGAGTAAAGAAAGACTCTGTCATCCAGCCAGGCCTTCTTTCCATCATCATATCAGATATTAGTAGTAATTCTTTGTGGCTTTGAATCAAACGTATTACCGTCTAGTTAATTCTGACTCATTATAACCTTCCAGAACAGAGTGGAACTTACTGCCTAACACTGAAATCTTTACAGAAGCAGACAGCTCCAAACTGTTGGGTTTGAACTGCTGTCCTTTCTGCTAGTAACCAAGTGCTCCCAGGTAATATTCATTATTACTTCCTGGATGATGCATGTTGTGTGTTGTTGTTGTTGTTATGTGCCATCAAGTTGCCTATGACTCATAGCGACGTTAGGGACAATAGCCCTGAAGTTGGCCCTGTCCTGAGCCTGTCTCATTGACTCCAACACACAAACCTCTATTGTCCTAGTTAATATATCAATCCATCTCATCTGAGGTCTTCCTCTCCTGTGCTGTTCCTCCACCCTTCCGAACATGCTGTCCTTCTCCAAGAACTGGTCCCCCCTGGCCGCATGCCCAGGAGTATGTGAGTCTGAGCTTCAAAATCCTAGCCTCCAAGGAGAAACTTGGTTTCACACTTTCCAAGACAGACTTATTTGCTTTCTTGGTGGTCCATGATATGTTCAAGACTCTTCTCCAGTACAACTCAAAGGCATCAATCCTTCTACCATCCTTAGTCATTGTCCAGCTCTCTGACGCATAGCAAATATTTGTGAAGACCATGGACTGGATCAGGCACACCTTAGTCTCTAGACTGACATCTTTGCCTCTCAGTACTCTTGAAAGGTCCCTGAAAACAAATTTACCTAATGCAATTCACCTTTTTATTTCCTGACTGCTGAGTCCAAAAGTGTTGATTGTGGAGATGAGAGGCTGTAATTGTTAGCAACCTCATTCTCTTCTCCATCTATCATGGTGCTGCCATTGGTCCAGTGGTGAGAATCTTTGTCTTCTTGATGTTGAGCTTCAATCCATATTGAAGGCTGCAGTCCTTGACCTTCTGCAGCAAGCACTTCAGGTCCTCCTCATTTTCACCAAGCAAAGTCGTTTCTGCTTAATGTAGGTTGTTGACGAGTCTTCCTCCAATCCTGATGCCACATTCCTCCTCATAAAGCCCACCCTCCCTAATGATCTGTTCTACATAGAGACTGAAAAGGTATGGAGAAGGGCACATCCCTGGCACATCCCTTTCCTGATTTTTAACCATGCAGTGTTTCTCTGCTCTGTTCTGAGGACTGTTTCCTGGTCCAAGTTTAGGTTACACATAAGCACAATCAAGTGTTCTGGAATTCCCATTCTCAAGGTTAACCACAATTTGTTGTGATCCACACAGTCATATGCCTTTGCATAGTCAATGAAATACAGTCAAGGCTTGAATCCAATCCAATCCAATCCAATCCAATCCAATCCAATCCAATCCAATCCAATCCAATCCAAGGTATTCCTCTGGTACTCCTTGCTTTCTGTCAAGATCCATCTGACATTGGCGATAATATTTCTAGTTCCACAGCTTTTTCTAAAGCCAGCTTGTGTTACATTATATTATTTAACAAGACCTCAACAATCCTTAGGAAAGGTGAAGAGCCAAAGGCGAACAAGCAGCATTTGTTGTCTCTTCAACTTTTACCTTAATCACTCACTCACTGCCGTCCAGTCAGAACCGACTCATAGCTGACTCTCTGTTGGGTTTCCGAGGCTGTAAATTGCACAGGAAGAGATTGCTCATCTTCTCTCATTTACCTTAGAACAGAGTCAATATCTTGAAATACTAATGTTTGAGATTTCATTTCCCACAGCTTACCTATGACTTCTCCTTAGTTAGTTAACAAGATTGTCTCCAGATTGGTCAGCTTATAATAGAATGTGAAAAAACATGATCAATCTTTAGATTTTTATTTTTTAAATTCACAGATAGGCTTTTAATATAAAAAGGGGAAATCTGAATGAAACAGAAAGCTGAGCTTCTGCCATATCGATAGAACTAGGAAGGAGTTTCCAGAACAGACTCCATTGCCGCAGTAGAGGGGATAAATAATGTATGCTGCATTGAAACAGATGAGGGACAGAACTGTTTAAAAGGGATATATGATTAGGTATTATTGTCATGACACAATTCCAGAAAAAGAAATGCATAGTAAAGTGGACTGTGGACTTGGCAGGGAGGGGGACTGTATAACAATGAAAGAATTTGGCGGGTGAGGGGTGGGCAGGGAGGAAAATATGCAACAATGAATGAATGGGGGGGAATTAAATGCGAAGAATATGCTATACAAAATATGTTGCGTTTTAAAAAAAGAAAGAAAAAAAAAAGAAGACCATATCCCAAGGTGGTTCGACTGGACTAGAGGAAGGAGCAGCTGCAAGTCAAGGCTTGAGTCCAGTCCAAGGTTGGAGGGAGGGACAAAGGGAGATCAAATGTTTTAGCTTTGGCCTGGCAAAAGGGTAGTTGGAACCTTCTTCATATTCTAGAGAGATTGAGAAGGGATGGTAGAAAGATGTTCTTTTGTGGATGACGCCCAAGAAACTCTACTCTTCAGAATCCCACCCTTCTGACACCCAGCTCTAGCATTTTATGGCATAAATATCTAGCCTTACAACAGTTCTTTAAAACTTTATTCTTTATTCATCTACAACTCTACCCATAATATGGTTGGAAGGATTAAAAAGGTAATCATGCAGAATAAACAAATCATTTGATTTTATTATACTTGTGAGTTGGAAAGATGTGGATCCAAGTGAGTGTGCTTCTTGGAATAAATCTAGTCAAGCATGTACAGAGCAATGGTTTGATTTACCTATGGGGAAAACCCCTGACACGGTGATCCAGGAGATGGGCTGGAGAAACCATGCAGCCAGCCATCTCCTTCTTTGTGCAGAGAGCTGCTATGTTCTACTAGACTTTGCAAAGGAAACCCACTTTTTTGCTAAATCATAATGCAATGAAACGAGAAGCCTCAGCAGTATCTGTGTAGGCAAATAAATAGACAATTGCTATTTCACACAAATGTTGAAGACATGTGTACCTAGAAAGCATGAGCGTGAGATTATTATAGTGGGTAGAAATAACATACTCTATGGGAAAAAAATGTGTTTAGTTATTGGTATTCTATATGGAAGGGTGAGTGAGGTTTATAAAGGTTCAACGATAGCATAGTAAATTTCAAAGTGTCATGAGAGGAGAGTGCAGGTGTAAACAGGAGATGAGAGTAAGCAAATTGCTTTGACTGGATTAGAGTAGAATGGAGTGAGGTTTGAGAAATACTTGAGTGGAGACAACCAAAAAGTGTGTGTGTGTGTGTGTGTGTGTGTGTGTGTGTGTGTGTGTGTGGTTTACTCCTGCACAAATGAGAATACAGAGGATAGAGGGGCTTGTCCCTTGCCGTCAACAGCCTTGGCATCAGGCTTCTCAAAGGAGGAGACATGATCATCTCCTCTGACAGCTCTACCTACCACAACATCTTGTTCAAACGTTCCCGAGTGCGTAGGTAAGACACAGCCATTGGATGCTCATCCTGATTCAGGCATCAACAAACATAACAATACCACACAAAAGAGAAGCCATAGATCCAGATCATCAAGATGGCACTAAAGGCCACATACCAGCAGAAGAAGGTAGTGACAAACATAATGTCATTTTTGTCGTCATCCATCCACTTATAGCCAGAGATGGGTTTGAACAGTATAAAGCCTATGTGTATCAGCCAAGTGCCCACCACCATATTTAAGAAGGCCTTCATCACCCAGATCTGAGGCATGTTGGGAGCCCAGAGCTCTGCAATCACCACCAGCATCAGTAGGAACATGGCCTGGATGAGCAGTATGTGAGCCTGAAGCTCCACTCCTTCTGTGTCCTGAATGTGAGACACCATCAAAGGCAGACACACAAACAAGGCCAGGGCCTGGGCAGCCTGTTCCAGTGTGGCACACCTCCGGGGCAGCAGGTTCTGGCTCGCCACATCTACACATCCGCTCAGGAAGAAGCTCATGTACAGAGTGAGATGCTGCCACTCTTTGCGGTATATGAAGTTTCTCTGGTAAAATAACTTGGTAATAAGTGCAAACTGTCCAGGGATGTTATTCAGCTCTTGAGCTACTAAAATGCAAGCTCCCAAAATCTTCAGAAATCCAACGTAGTATATTTGTTGCAGTTTGGCCCATCTTCCCTTGCTCCAGGGATGAGTTGGTGGATACTGGACAAAGCAGTTGCATATCGAGGCCTTGGAGAAAAGTCGTCCATGATAAAGACCATAGAATAAGAAAAACAATCCTGGGAACAGGTGACCCTCAAAACCCCCCATGGAACTGAAGGCAAGTCTAACCAAGAACAGAGGCAAAAGATCCAGGAAAGCTCATCCACTCAAGGTAACCCTGGTCTGTAGAGTGTAGAGGGAACAGCCTACTTATATTCATTCTATCCAGCCCGCTGCATTCTCAGGCAGAAAGGAAATGGTTTTGGAGGAAGCCCAAACCTAATGGTGGGGTGGGTGTCATGGCTTCCGTTCTTGTCCTCTGCTCTGGTCCACTGAGAACTAACTAAGCATTGCAAGGCAGGGAAGCATACATGCTCTCTAGCAGCACACCTGGTAGTTGGCTTTTCTCAGAGTCTACGCTGTCGGGTCCACTTTGCCTCTTCTGTCTTTTATACTATCTCTATGTCTACCTTCTTTACTTTCCTCCCAAATTCACAGAACATAATGAAGACTACAGAGAAAGCATGGACAAACAGTAGGATAGAGTCCTACTCATACAAACACCAGACATAGTCTCAAGGCCACAAGTCAACACACAAAATGCCTGACTTCTTGGCCCAGTGTGGACATAGAAAATATTGTCTCCTGAAAAAATCTCTCTTCCTCTGATCTTCAAATTGAACTTAGATGCTACCATCTGAGATTTCCTCCTTTGGGATGAGACAGTGTGGATTTTCCCCAAGTTAAAATGCAAGTAAAGTAAGTTAAACTCAGAGGTAAGAAACTGAAATCTCTCACGGTGTTGTTTTACAATAAGCATTTCAATGAGCATCCCCCAAGGAAATCTTGTGTACACTTAATTTTGAAAATCACTGAAGTAATCTTCATTGACATTAACCCAGCTAGTGTTTACTCTCACTAAATAAGAATTTCTTTATAACATAACGGTCATATTACCCCTCATAGTAAAAAGCAAGTATAGCTAACGTCTCAGTTTGCTTCCCATAGTTCCCAAAGATTTCCACTGAGATGTACTGTTTTCTTTATTTGCTTCCTTAAATGAGTCTTATGTTTTGTTTTCTAATCAATATTTCTATGTTATTGTTGGTAGTAGGGAACATTGGAGCCTAATGGGCATGAAATTACAGTACCAATCCAAAGGCAGGTTGTTGCAATCCACCAGCTACTCCACAGGAAGAAGATGGGCAACCTTCTATCTTGGGATTTACGGCCTCTGAAAAACCTCTAGACAGTCAGCTATGAGATGGATTTAATTTGGTGGTATTTAACAACAACAACAACATTGTTTATACGGATTGCCACACAGTTAATTGTAACACACAGAAACCACACCAAGTTAAGAGTAGAACCATGATCCACATCGCTTCCTGGTTGAATGAAAGTAGATCTCCATGTCTTTTGCAGAGCCACGGATTTCAAACTTCCATATTTTTTTTCTATAATTATATTTTATTAATTTTCATAAACATTTACAGAGATTTTGGGCTTCCACTCATTCATTGTTGCACTATTCTCTTTACCCTCCTCCCAGTTTGTTCTTGTCCAAATGCCACAGTGCTTGTCAAAGCCAGTTCTGATTAATCTTCTTTGTCAGTGTATCCTTTGCCATTCCCTATCACTCCTCCCTGAGAGAGACTTCACCCTGAGTCATAAGGAAAAGGGGACGGCGTATTCTCTTAGCTACTTCCTGCTGAAAAGGGACGCTGTGGGTTTCAGGGTGAAGATCTTCTCTCACTACTCTAAAGGGCCCCTTTGGCAGTAGGAAACACATAGACTATTATGGAGATTGATTTTGGAATTCAGATGCACTCTTATTGATTGTGCTTGGCTGTACATGTACATATCCTTCAAGATGTATCATGGGGGTGTTGCAACCTAGAAGACACAAATTTGACTAACAAGTTATAAGTACATGAGTCCAAAAATTATGGAAAAGTAAAAGAAAAGATTCTTTCATTGTTTTACAAACCCTCCCCCAGGTCCCCTCCACCATGCAGCCCTCGCTCTAGTCTCCTGTGATGACAGAAATACCCAGTTACATCTCTCTTTTAGACGGTTCTCTCCCTCCTCTGCTTCAGTGCAGTATACATTATTGAACCCATCTTACTCAGTGTCTCCCTAACCCCAAGGACAGTCCCATTCTACAACAGTAGCATCATGTAATATTTGTCCTTTTGTGACTGGGATATTTCACTCAGCATAATGTTCTCCAGAGTCAACCATTTTGAATAATATTGCATGAAAACTTCCATATTTGAACTTGTTAGGAATCAGTAGTCAAGCAGAAACCACTGCACTACCTAAACTCAAAAAACCAAATTTGTAGCTGTTGTGTTGATGCCAATTCATTGCATCCTATGTGCTTGAAAGTTGGGCAGTGAGTAAGGATTACAGAAGAAGAACCAAGACCTCTGAATTGTGGTGTTGGAGAACGATACTGAATATTCTATGGACTTCCAAAAGAACAAACAAGTCTGTCTTGGTGGAAGTACAGCCAGTGTATGACTACTCCTTGGAGGTAGGGATGATGATACTTGACCTCACATATTTGGGATATGTTGTCAGGAGGGCCTAGTTTGTAGAAAAAGCCAGCATATTGGGAAAGGTTGAAGGTCAGAGAAAGAGAGGAAGACCTTTAACAAGATAGAGTGACACAGTGACTACAACACTGGGTTGAATCTTGAGATTGTTAAGATGGTACAGAATAGGACAGGGTTCAGATCTGCTGTTCAATGGATAGCTATGAGTCATAGTAGATTCAATAACACATAATAACAACATGGAGACCCTATTGAACAGAGTAGAATGGTCCCAAGGATCTCCCAAGCTGTAATCTTCCTGCTGTCAGGCAAGGACCTCTCTAGAGTGTTAAAGAGTAACAATGTTAGTCTAGAGAACATGGTGCGACTGATCCAGGTGCGTCTTCACAATTATTTGCTATACATCAGAGAACTGGACAATGAATGTCTAAAGGTGACAGAAGAATTGATGCCTTTGAGTTGTGGTGCTGGAGAAGAGCACTGAATATTTCATGGACTGCCAAAAGAACAAACAGGTCTGTCATCGAGAGGGTAAAACCAGTTGCTTCTTGGAGGCAAGGATTTTGAAGCTCTGTCTCATATACTTTAAGCATATTGCCAAGAGGGACCAGTCCTTGGTAAGGACATCATGCTTGAAAAAGTAGAGGTATAGGGCAAGAAAGGAAGACCCTGGTGAGATGGATTGACACAGTAACTAGGGTCATGGGGGTAAGTGTGTCATGGGAAGTGAGATTACCTCAGGATAGGGCAGGGTTCTGAGTCATTGTTTATAGGGTTGCTATGAGTTCCTGTCAACTTGATGGCATATAACAAAAAACCCTCACAACCTTTCTGGAGCAAATGGCTTTGACTTTCTCTCTCAAAACATTTGCTAGATTTGAACTGTTGACCTTTTGGCTAGGAGTTAAGTGTGTAACCACTGTGCCACCTAGGGAATTTAATATTTATAAAAGAAGCTATAATTTTATATTCTTATTCAAATTAATACTTTTTAATTTATCACATTCTTATTCATTTTTCAGTTTATATAATCATGCTATATATAATTAAAAAAACTCTTCCTTTGAGAAATATTTCCTCTTTTCCTATTGTCCTTTCTAGTTGCATTACTATGGTAGAAATCTACTCTCATTGCACTTATCCTAGGTCTGTTTTTGTGTAAAATATCCTTCAAGCCACATGGAGTTAAATGAAAGAGTTTGCTAACACATTCTGCACTCCTAGTTATGTATTGACCATTAGGCTAACAGAGCCTTTTCACTGGGGTATTTTTAATCAGGAAAACACCTCTGAGCTCTTTCATGTTACCGTTAGGTGCTGTCAAGTTGGTACAGGTCAAGTGACCCCAGGGGACAGAGTAGGACCACTCCATAGATAGTCTTGTCTGTAATCTTTATTTAAACCAATAACTAGGTCTTTCTCTTTCAGCCGCTGGATAGGTTTGAACTAATAACCATTTTAATTATTATCTGAGTGTTCATTAAATCATGCCTATTTTGGTTTAATCTAGGAAGTTGTGTTTTTTTTAGTTATCAATGACATTGCTTTGTTTATTTAAAAACTTCAATTTTTTTATTAATCCTCAATTTTCTTTCATTGGTTTGGATTCTCCAGAAAAGCCAGCCTAAGACTGTGTGTTTGAAATAAATGTCATTACACTGCCTATATCTAAAACGGTTTTTGTTACTCAGTCATACAACAAATTGGAGATAAAACCATTTTGTCATAGAGAGAGATGCTGCTGCTGCTTCCTATTAATGTGATGTCTTTATTTACTTTCTTATTGATGAGCATATTGCTCTATATGATTATGTATCTATATTACCAGTTCTTTCCTAGGGTGGTGGTTGTTATGTATCATCGAGTTGACCATGACTCATAGTAACCCTTTTGAACAATGACTCTAAAGCTTGTCCTATCCTGATCCAACCTCACTGTCTCTGACACACCTGACCCCATGGCCACAGTCACTGTGTCAATCCATTTCATCCAGAGTCTCTCTTGTGCTGATCTTCTATTCTTCCAAGTACTTCTCAAGGGACTGCCTCCCCTCTAACAACATGCCCAAAGTATGTGAGACAGAGTTTCAAAATCCTTGTCTCCAAGGGGCAACTTGACTTCATTCTCTCTAGAACAGACCTTATTATTCTCTTGACAGCCTAAAGCAGGTTCAGAAATCTTATCCAGCATCACAACTCAAAGGCATCAATTCTTCTGCCATCTTTAGTCATTGTCCAGCTCTCAGATGCATAGCAAGCAATTGAGAAGATGATGGCTTAGATCAGGTGCACCTTAGTCTCTAGACTGATATTGTTGCTCTTCAGCACTTTGCCGAGGTTCTTGATAGCAGATTTTCCCAGTGCAACTTGTCTATAAATTTCCAAATTGCTGGTGCTCAGGGTGTTGATTATGGATCCAAACAAGATGAAATCATTAACATCTTCAATCTTTTCTCCATCTATCATGATGCTGCCTATTGGCCTGGTGGGAGGATTTTTGTTTTCCTGATGTTGAGATGCAATCCATATGGAAGGCTGAAGTCCTGAT